CTGGAATTACAGGCGTGCGCTACCACGCCCGGCTGATTTTTTGATTTATTGCAGAGATGAGGTCTTGCTGCCCTGGAGGGTCTCGAACCCGCGGGCTCAGGCAATCCACTCACCTCAGCCTCCCAAAGGCGCGGGCTGGGCAGGGAATTTCTAATGCGGGTGAGAAACAAGCCCTGTCCGTGATGAGAGAGCGATTTAAAAATCACGGCCCGGCCATGCTGTGGAACGCCGGGTGGAGTTGAGCAGGAGAGGGAGGTCTCTGTGTGGACGTGGAAGGATCGCCAGGAGAGCGAACTGGAAGGGAAGAGGAGGTTGCAGAACAACAGGCGTGTTTCGTGTAAAACCGAGAAAAGAACTTTTTATGGATATTCTGTAACTACAAGCATCTAAAGTGTCTGGAAAGGAGCCCGACGCGAGCGATTCTGGGGAGGGGGGAGGCGACGGGGGGAGGGGAATTGAGGAGGGGAGGGCGGAGGGGAAAGAAACTCCCACCTGTTCCACTGGAGGTTGTCTGAATTTGTATCATAAGAATGGATTTATAAGTCGTGTTTAAAAAGCAACAGAATGCCTAGGTGACCCGGTGGTGATCAGCTCTTGTGGGTCACTGAGCAGCTGTGCAGAGCACGGGGCTATGAGTCAGAGAGCCGATTCTGTCCCAGCACTCCCGGGCCTGGTAACGTTGGGCCCAGCAGGGTCAGGGCTGTGAGGAGCCGTCAGTGAGGGCAGCGCCGGGGAGGGATGACGTGGCTGGGTCTCCCACACGTCAGGGCTGGAGCCACACCTGCCCGAGAGACCTGGAGCTGAAGCCGGGCCAGGACTGTGCAGGAGATAGTCCTGAGGCCCAGGTGGCGGGGGATTGCTCACGAGTCCGTCTGGCACGCCCTCCCCACCAGGCCCCAGAGGAACGGAACTACCACATCTTCTACTGCATGCTCATGGGCATGAGCGCCGAGGACAAGAAGCTGCTGGGCCTGGGGACGCCCTCCGAGTACCGCCACCTGACCATGGTGAGCCTCAGTGGCCAGCGGAGAGAGAGGCAGAGGGGCCGCTGCTCGTTCAGTCCCCGGTGGCAGTTGCAGAAAAGCCCGACACGGGCCAGGCTCATGGGGGGGGGACGGGGTTCTCTCTGTAAACTAATCATTTCCATCTCTTCCCGGCAAAAAGTAACTCATTTATAAGACTTTGTGAGATTCTGTGTTTACTTTTCACCCTGACCATATGCATATCAAGTTTTCTGTAAAAACCGTATCCTGCTCCTCATTCCTATTCCTCGAAAAGATCCATTTTC